TCACTCTGACCAGGTGGTGACCATTGCCAGTTCTATTCCTGGAATATGGTAGAATAGGTTATTTGCGTTACCCCACTAATAGGGTGGGGTGGTAGGGGCAGAGATTCTGACTAGCAGTGACGTTTAAAGAGCAAAAAGTTTTTAATTTTGACTTTTTTTTCTTTTACTTTATTTTACCCTCATCCAAGGACATGCTTATTGATTCTAGAGAGGAGGAGGGCAAGGGAGGGAGACAGAAACATTGGGGAGAGAAACATCAATCCATTGCCTCCCATATGTGCCCCGACTGGGGATTGAACCCAAAACCTAGGTATGTGTTCTGAATCAAACCCATGACCTTTCTGTGTACAGAATGACACTCCAACCAAGCTACCCAGCCAGGACTAGTTCATGTTTTGACATTTATAAGAAATCTGTGCCAAACATAAAGACAGTAAGATTTTGTCCTGTTTTCTTCTAGTTTTATACTTTTAGCTTTTACGTTTAGTCCTATGATCCATCATGAATTAAATCTCATACAAGGTCTGGCAGAAGTAACGCCTGCTTGAGTGTGGTTGGCAGGGTATGTGAATGTCTTGGTGAGATGGACAGCAATGTGAACATTTCACCTAAAATATCATATGGTGTGCTTGAGTGTGATATTGCTATGTTACAGAATTACATGCTTATGATTTTGTAATAAAAAAGGGATGTTATTTGTGCCAGACACTGTATATGGTGGAGTTGGAGATTTTTTAATATATCTAGTTGTTCTGAGACGATTTGTTAAAAACTTACCCTTCCCACACTAGATTGCCTTCCACCTTTGTGAGAAGCCAACCATATGTACAGTTCTACTTCTGGACTCTATTTCTTGGATCTATTTGTCCATCTTTACACCAATACTATACTATCCTATTTACTACTGTAGCTTTGTAGTAAATTTTGAAGTTACGTTATATTGCCCTACCAAATTTGTTTTTTCAAAATTGTTTTGGCTATTGTAGGCTCTTTGCAGTTAAATATAAATTTTGAAACCAGACTTTTCATAAACTTACCCAAAAAAAGCCTATTTGAACTTTGGTTGCCATTGCATTGTATTAACTATAAATCAACTTGAAGGAAACTGACATCTTAAGAATATTGTTTCCATCCATGAACAGTATGTGCACCCCATTTAGGTCTCCATTAATTTCTCTCAGCAATGTTTATAGTTTTTACTGTATAGGTCTTTCACACCTTTTATCATTTATTCCTAAGCTTCTGATAATTTTGGATATTGATGTAAATTGCATTGTTTCTTAATTTCTGATTATGCAAGGTGAGTATATAGAAATACAGTTAATCTCTGTGTATTAATCTTACATCCTGCAACCATACTAAACTCATTTATTAATCCTTTGGTGGACACTATCAGATTTTCTGAGTCATCTCTGAATAGTTTTAATTCTTCCATTTCAGTGCCACTTCTTTTTGCCCCACTGCCCTAGCTAGAGCCTCCTGTAAAATGTTCAGAAGCAATGACAACGGACATCCTTGCATTGGACCTGTTAGGACAAATGCATCCAGACATTCACCATCATTTGCTGGAGGTTTCTTTTGTTTTTTGTTTTTTTTTGTAAATGTGCTTTATCAAACTAAGGAAATTCCCTTTAAATTCTAACTTACCTAGAGTTTTTATTATAAATTAATGAATTGTCAAACTCACCTTCATCATCTATTAATCATATAGTTTTCCACCTGTATTAATGTGGTGAATTGTATTGTTAGTTGACTTTTCAAGCATTAAATCTACATTTTTTAAATAAACCCTATTTGGTTAAGATATAACATCCTTTTCCATATAGGATCATTTGTTGGATTTGATTTGCTAATTTGTTGAAATTTTTTATGTCTATGTTCATGAGGAATAGTTGTCTAGTTTTCCTTTTTTACAATATCTTTGTCTGGTTTGGAGATCACAATGTTGGCCTCATAGGTGGAATGGGAAAGCATTCTTTCCTCTTCAACTTCCTGGAAGGGGTAGTGTAGAATTGGTATTATTTCTTCATTGGACAGATGGTAACGTTTACCACTAAAGTGATTTAGGCCTAGAGTAGTCTTTGTGAGATTTTAAACTACAAATTCAATTTCTTTCATAAATAGGGCTATTTAGGTTGTCTATTTCTTCTTGAGTAAACTAATATTTTGTATCTTCCAACGAATCTGTGCTCATTTTACCTAAATGTTCAAATTTATTGACATTTTGTTTATATTTATAGAATCTGTAGCGGTGTTTCTTCTCTCATTCTTTGCATTGGTCATTTCTTTTTTGCTTTTCTCTAGATAGAAGTGTACAAATTGTTTTTGAGCTTCACAAAGAACCTGCTTTTGGTTTAATTAAATTTTTTTCTATTACTTTTTTCTTTCCAATGTCATTGATTTCTGCTCTACCTTTGTTATTTCCCTTTTTCTGCTTATACTCTTATTTGGTCTTCTTTTTCTTAAGTGAAAGCTGGGGTCACTGATTTGAGATTGTTTTTCCTAACACAGCACATAGCACTGTAACTCTCCCTTTAAGTACTGCTTTCGCTGCATCAGAAGATGAAAGGTTAACACACAAAAATCAACTGTGTGTCCATTTACCAGCAACAAACAAGTAGAAACCAAAATTAGAAATACAACACCATTTGCTATAGCTCCAAGAAAATAAATACTTAGCTCTAAATCCAACAAAACTTGTACAGATCTGTATGCTGAAACTAAACAATGCTGATGAAAGAAACCAAAAATGGAAATAAATGGAGAGACATGTCGCTCATGGTTTAGAAGATTCATTATTGTAAATATGTGAATTCTCCTCAAACTTATCTATAGAATTAATGCAGTTCCAGTAAAAATCCCAGCAAGGCTCTTGTATAGATAAGATTATTCTAAAATTTATATAGGAAAGCAAAATTGATAGAAAAGCCAAAATAATTTTGAGAAAATAAGGTTGTAGGAATCACACTACCAGAATTTAAAGACTACACAGAAAGTTACAATAATCTCGACCATGTGGCATTGGTAAAAGGACACGCAGATCAATGGGAGAGAATACAAAGTCCAGAAATAGATCCATACTGAAGTGGTCAATTGATTCTTGACAAAGATGCAAGAGAAATTCAGCAGAAAAAGAAAAACCTTTTCAACAAATGGTCCTGGAACAATCAGACATCCATCTACATGCCTCCAAAACCAAACAAAAAATATAAACCTCACACTTAAAAAAAATGAAAATAGATCATAAATCTAAATTTAATGTTAAACTATCAAACATTTAGAAGAAAATCTTCAATACCTGAGGCTAGACAAAGATTTCTTAGACATGACACCAAAAAGCATGATTCATATAAAAAAACTGATAAACTGGACTTCACCCAAATAAAAAGTGTTGCTCTATGAAAAGCAGTTGAGTGAAGAGGCAAGCTGCAGACCAGGAGAAAACAATGCAAAGCATGTTACTGTCAACAGATATGTATCCATAATACATAAAGCCTGTAAGCTCAACAGTAAGAAAACTACCCGATTTAAAAATGAACAAAAAATTAGAAAACTAGAAATAATTTAAAAAAGGAAAAAAAAAATAAAAATGAACAAGAGATTTGAAGAGACATTGCATCAAAGAAAATACACAGATGGCAAATAAGCATGTGAACAGATATTCACCATCATTCCATTAGGGAAATGTAAATTAAAACCGGGGTGAGATGTCACTACACATCTACTAAAATGGCTTAAATAAGACAATACTGACAATACCAAGAGCTGGTGAAGATGCAGAACAGCTGGAACTCTTTCTACCAAATAATGACTTTTTCTCAAACACAGTATGTAAATGTACTTACAAGAAGTAATACTTTGACATTGTGCCTTTAGGCAGACACTCGTCAGTCGAGTCAACTCATTTCCAGTCAGAACATATGGAACACATTTGAGTTGCGCACCATTTTTGAGAGACATGTAAAGTGTTTTTGTTGGCATGGAATCTAGATTTCAGCCTACCATATATCTTCACCTTATCCTCATTTCTTTAAAGCACTCTTGAGTTCAGCCTGTATTTTATCCTAAAGCAGGAGCCGGCAACCTTTTCCTGTAAAGGGTCATAGTAAATACTTTCAGCTTTGCGCGCCCTAAGGACTCTGCTGCAACTACTTAACTCCGCCCTCAGCAGGGCAGCCACAGGCACTTGCTCCTGTTGGGTGAGTTCTAATAAAACTCTACAGAAGCCTGCTGTGGCTTGACTGGGCCCACTGACCCCATCCAGGGGCCAGAGCAGCGGAGACTAAGGAGCCAGCGGCCACACGTTCAGAACCCAGCCGGCAGCTCGCGGGCAGGACCAGAGCCAGCTTCCATTAGCACCGAGCAGTCAGTCAGCAGCTGCCTGGTTTTACTGGAGAAACATCTCAACTGCTTGCAACCATTGGCCCCAAGGTAGTTTGAAGAGACATCTCCTTTCTAACCGTCCTTTTCTAATCCTGCTTAAGTAGCTGTCACCATCCACGCAGCGAGGAGCTGAGGGCCTGTCCTGATGGCAGAGCTGTGACAAGAGCCCAGTTCCCCTGCCCTCAACCCCAGGTCTCTCACACCGAAGAAGCCCCCCACCCCCTTTACAAAGGAAGCTCCCCAGAAAAACAGGAAGTATCTTCACCTGCCCCATCATGAGTAGCAGAAGTGTTTCTCAGGGTCCCCCAGGGATGGCATCATCATCTCTGTGGGTGGGACCCAGGTGACCTTGAAGCACACCCCAGGACAAGGAACACTGCCTTGCTCCTCCAGCCCATCCAGTGGCCTGAGACACATGGCTGCAGGGCCAGGGGCCAGGGTCAGCCGAGGCCCCCTGGTCTTCACAAAACCCACAGCAGGCTTAAAGGAATAGACTTTATTAACCTAGTTCTCAAACACTAGAGGCTAAAATTCTAACAACCCATCAATATTTACAGAGCGCTGCCTGCGGGTCAGGAGGGGCCAGGCCTGGCACTTCCCCAAACACACACCAAGCGCAGCCTCCAAACAGGCCGGAGCTACTTCCCACCTGCAGCACACAGAGAACGTTAATGTTTATGTGCAAGTGACCAGAACCACCGCGGCAGGCTAGCAGGCAGGACACCAGACCAACGGAGATGGACAGACAGTCACACACAGGAGGCTGAGGCTGCCGAGGGGGTTGGCGGACCTGGCTCAGTACTTCTTCAGGCTGTAGGTCAGGCTGCCGGGGACCCTGGTGCCCTGCAGGGGCGGCGAGTGCCAGACAGCAGAGCTGGTGCGTTTGTGGTAGCGTGGCTTGCTCTTCTTGAAGATGTCCTCCAGGTCCAGCTGGAGGATGGTCCCAAAGAGCTCAAGCACGTTCGGGGGGTGGTAGTACTGGTGGATGATGGCCTGGCTGAGCTGGGTGCCTGCAGGGGAACGGAGGGCTGGGTCACCGCCGCGGGGCTCCCCATGAGCCTCTCCATACCCCTGCCCCACCCAGAGCCCTTGTCGCCAGCATGTCCCCACCTCCTGCCACATGAGCTCCTCCGAGCCCTGCTCCTCCTGCCCCACCACCAAACGCTGATGATGCTCTCACTGTGCATTACAGCTGCCATCGTCTGGCAGCCTAGTCTGAACCCAGGTGCCAGGGAGCTCACAGGGCCAGGCACTCAGCCGAGCCCTCATGGCCTGACCTTGTCATCCCCTCACCCACCTGGGGGCCAGGTCCTTTATTCTCCGTTTACATCGGTGAGATTTGCCCAAAGGTGCACAGCTAGGAACTGGCAGAGCTGCAGTCTGAAGACAAATCTAGCTCCAGAGCTTAAGCCCATGGTTCCGTCCTTGCCGCAGTGACTACTGGCTACTTATCTCATCAGCCAGCCGCACAGGCCCTGAGGTGCAGGATGCAGACTGAGGGGCCTCTGGGCCGAGTCCGGGGTGGCACACCCCTGCCAACAGGGAGGAGCAGGTGGGATGTGCAGCCAGCTTGCTCTGGACCACGCCTTCCACATACTCACTTCATCCTCAATAACCCTTCTCCGCTGGGTCCTATTATCATGCCCATTTCACAGATGAGAACACTGGGCTGGCAAAGGTCAACTACAATTAGGTGGCTTTGCCGGTCACCTGGCTCCCTGGCCACACTGAACCCTGCATGTTGACACCTCCCAAGTGACTTGATGCTGGTAGTTAAGGAAACTAAGTCAGATGCTGTGGGGTTCAAATGAGGTGACACTCATAAGAGCAAGTTCTCTTTAGTAAGCACTGGCCCTGGGGAGTGAGACTACAGCCTGCCCTGACATCCGGCCCTGCGAGCTCTGTAAAGCACCTACTGTGTGCATGACCCGCTCTACTGCCGGCAGGCTTCACACCCAGGCCGAGGGCCACAGTCACGCTCACCCCGCTCCTGGTTAAATGCTGGGGCCTGTACACCCCGGGGTCAAATCCTGCCTAAGGGCCTTGCCCCCCCGTCAGGGCTTTCCTGCCTCCCCTGGCTGGCTGGAGCTCCCAGCCCCAGCCCTGAGTGCACTGCTAAACCCCACTATCCCTCAGCTCTATTCCCACCCCAGGCTGCTTATTTGGATCCAAGTCTCATCGGGCCTTCTGGGCAGGACTCCAAGGAGGGACCTAGAGAGCCTGGGCCAGAGTGCCCACAGCCCGCTGCAATTCAATACATTTTCTGAGAACAAAGGCATCCCACATCTGGTCCAAAAATGAGCCCACTGGCCAGAGTGGCCACACTATCCTACATGTGTCCCAAGGCCCTAAGCAGGCTTGTCAGGCCAACATATCAAGTATCTAGCACAACAGCCCCCGACACCCGCAGCTGCCAAGCACTCCTTCCAGGGACCCCTGAAATCACACGTGAGGGCCCTGGTCTCCAGCGCACCCTGGACCCGCTTACCTCTGGCCCAGGCGGGGATGGGCTTCCGGGGATGGGCCTCGTCATCAGTGGAGTCGTCACTGTTCAGGTCCATCCCGTAGTTATCTGGGTTGATCTTGGGGGGACCTCTGTGCCCTTGTGGAGTCATTTGATACGAGGTACAAGCTGGAGACTGGAAAAGATAAACAAGGCCCTCAGCTCCCCCTTCCCCACTCCTGCATCTGCCTCTACTGAGGAGCCCTGGGGTTCAGGCCACCTCCCCTCTTCACAGGAAAAATCAAAAGGTTCAGGGTCATGTAAAAAGTCACACCACATCCACAGCTCTGTATCTTCCTTCTTCATGCTGAAGTAAGTTTCAAATGCACTCCCAGGTCAGCATGCCTGATGTGGACAGCTCCCTGGGACCCCGCTGTGAACCCCATCATGGGGAACTTAAAAGTCCGTGTAGATGAACGTTCAGCTAGCCCCCAACTTTCCAACAGCTTCACCTGCGCTGCGCTGAAAACCCCTCTTCACAGCCCATTTTGTTTGTAAAGCATTTAACGAGAAATCACCTAAATGCTTGTCCACAGGTGCTGGTTCAAGAAATTCTGGTACAACTAGCTGGTACACAACTGTCAAAATTAAGAGATTTACAAGGGCTGAAATAGGTAATCGTCTACAATGTAGTGAAAAAAAAGAGAGAAAAAAAAATCCAGCTGCCAAGTGGTATATATTATGGAGTTAAGGCATGTCCCCCACAAATTTCTATGTTAAATCCCATCCCTCAACATGATGGAATCAGGAGGGGGGACCTTTGGGAGGTGCTCTGGTTGTGAGGGCAGAGCCATCTTGAATGGGATTGCTGTCCTTAAAAAAGAGACCCCAGAGAGTTCCATCTCCCCTTCCACTGTGCGAGGACACAGCAAGAAGACAGCTGTCTGTGAACCAGGAAGAGGGCTCCCAATAGACATCAAATCTGCCCACATCTTGACCTTGGAGTTCCCAGTCTCAGAGAAGTGTTTGTTTAAGCCACCTAGTCTATGGTACTTTGTTAGAGCAGCCTGAACAGACTAGGACAGTATGTACAGACCATGTCCACTTACAACCTGTGTGTATAAATGTTTACATGTGTAAAAATATAGATATATACACCAAAATTCTCATCTGAGGTACCTTTCTTTTACTTTATATTCTTTTATAAAGTTTAGTTTCTTTTTTTTTTTTTAACAATAAATTCTGAAAGCCTACATTGAGAATAAGAAATACACATATCAAAATTAGTAAAAACTCTCTGGACCAACTGTATCCTTCCTCTTTCTTACGGTCCCTAGATGTGATCTGTGCCTCCAGCTACAGGGGGACAATAATCAGCGCTGGGGGCCCCTCTCTGCTCTGGTGCCCAAGCCTCACCTGCACATCCATCGTCGTGTTCAGGCCTCTGTTGGCCGCTGCAGCCTCCTTGGCTTTCTTCTCCTGCTCTTCCTGCAGGCGCTGCTGCTCTTCCTGGGACCAGTGGCCAGCCAGGTGTAAGAGACCGTGCGAATGTGCTTTCCCCAGCCCCAGGCCAACCCCACACAGCCAGGCATGCAAGGCAGCTCCTGCCCCGAGAGCCACTGGGGCAGGGCTCCCCAGCCCAAAGTTGGCCCCAGGTCCCATGCGAGCCCCACACCAGCTCCCTGGTACCTTTTTTTTCTTCTCCTCTAGTTCCCGCTGCAGCTTCTCCTTCTGCAGCCGCAGGGCCTTCTCCCTCTCCTGCAGCTCCCTGGAATCCAAGCAAGAGCCTGTCAGGAAGCCGAGCCCTGGCTCTGTTTCCATCCCCATCAGGCTCATCAGCACTGGCCGCAGAAGATGGAATGGCAGGATGGGCACAGCAGCCAAGAGCCCACAGCTGTGCCTGTGCCCGAAGGGTCGGAAAGGTCACGCCCAGGGTACGGGGAGCGCTTGGCTTTGGAGCCCACCAGATTTAGCCGCCAAGCTCCCATACAACTTAGGTCTCATCTTCAGTCTTGTCTGTTGTACACTTGGGATCGTAACACCTGTCCTCCAGAGTCCTTGCGACAGTCAGATGAGATGATCAGTTATCTCCGACCGCCCTGGCCCGCCGGGCGGATACCGTGCTCCACGCCTGCCACGGGCTTTGGAGCCACCTCTGCTCACTAGCTCGTGACTTGAACGAGTCATTTGACCTCTGCATCTGTTTTACTCTCTGGGAAGTGGAGCTGCTGGCTCCTATCCCCCAGGGGCCTTCAAGTGAGGATTCAACAAGGAAACGTGCAAAGCATGTAGCTCAGGGCCCACCAAAGCAGCTGACCATTATGACCATCACGCCGTCAGCCCCTGGGATTGCCTGGCACACATGCAACTCTAAAATCACATCAACGGTCATGCACCCACCCTTTGTCCCCCTCCCAGACTCCTGTCTCCAACTCTACCATAAAACCAAGACAGTTCTGTGTTCATCAAGAAGCACAGGGAGATAGCTCTGATGCAGCCCACCCCAGGCGTCGACTCCTCCCTCTCCACGGGGCCGGCAGCCCCGCAAAGGCAGACACGGAGAGTGTTGCCTGGTGTTCCCCAGGGCGTGGAGGCGGGACAGAGGCAGCTGCTAGGCCTGTGCTTGGGTGCTGGCTGTCGGTACACACACGGGACACAGTTCTCTACGTCCACACCCCAGCGAGTTCACCACAGGCATGGATGCCACCTGTCCTGGCCAGCAGTGACTGCAGCTTGTCCTCCTTGGCATCCCCGGGACCCTGCCCAGCCAAGCACAGGACAGGCCCCAGGCAAAGGCTTGCAGAACTGCACGTAGGGGTTCTGCCTGCTGCACAGAGACCCTTGCCTCTGAGAGTTGCAAGTCCTCAGGGCCCTTCAGCCACAGTTCCCAAGGAAGGCAGTCCAGAGGTGCTGGGATGTGCAGTCGGGGTGGAGATCTGACTCCTCATCACCAGAGGAGCCACATTTAGTGGGCAGGGGCCAAGGATGCTGACTTACACCAAAGAACTGCACAAATGCCCATGGGGGTCCTGTTGAGAAATACTGGCTAACGCTACAGTAGCATCCCACCCCTGTCCCCACCATGTCAGCAGGGGACAAAAATGAACCAAAGGGGGCACTGTACCGGATGGAGGCAGAACTCAAGAGAGCTCCAGGTGACCCTGCCCCTTATATCTTCCCCATCCCGAGCCAACGTGCCACATTCGGGTGGTCTGCCTGCTATGGGCCTCTGGGTTTGGAGCTGAGGAGGTATGTCCTTCTTTTGCAAATGCCAAGTGAAGGTGGCAGCTGCTTCTAGAGGATGGCTCCACCTCTCTGGCCCTCAGGGTTCCCTCACCTCTCCTGCTCCCGCCGCTCCTGCTCCCGCCGCTCCTGTTCCCGCCGCTCCTGCTCCCGCCGCTCCTGTTCCCGCCGCTCCTGCTCCCGCTGCTCCGCCAGCCTCTTGGCCTCGGCTGCCTTCCGCAGCCGCTCCTGCTCCTCCTCCTCCTTTTTCTTTTGCAGCAGCTCCTGGTGTCGCCGCTCTTCCTCCTCCTGTGAACACAGAGCAAGGTCAGGGCCTCAGAACAGGCCCGGGCCAGAGAAGTGCAGGAGAGGTCAGGGGCTGAGCTGGGGTCACCCCACGCCAGGCACCACACAAGGTCACGCCAGCCTGAAGACGCATCGTACGACAACTCTTTTTGCTGCTGCAGCAGATTTAATAGTTAAGGTGCAGACTGGAGCCAAACACACTTGCTGGGTGACACTGGACTATCACTTAAGCCCTCTGGCCTTGGTCTCCTCACAGAGCAAGTGGGAACAACAGTAATACCTAACGTCCTTAGAACAGTGCCTGGCACACAGTAAATACTAAATCAAGTTTAGCCATTAGTATTATAACCCCCAGAACAGATGTGTGCTCCTTACAGTCATAAGATCGACAGCTCCAGGGAAGAGGTAGGCCCTTATTCTTAGAAGCGGAATAGTCCATCCTTACAATAGCCCTGTCAAGTAGCTGCTACTGCTACCTGAAGGAACCAAAGCACCAAGAGGCCAAGTGACCTGTCCAAGGCCACACAGCTAGTAAAGAGCAGAGCTGAGGTTGGAAGTCTGGCTTAGAGTCCACGTGCTTCACCCTCAAAGCACCACCTCTACAGAAAAACGGAAAGCACATTACTGTCACCATCCCCACCTCCAAGGCATTTGTTGAACCTCCTCGGGGCTTGAAAGCACAGATCCTCCAGGACGAACCCACCAAAGTGGGGATGCCCAGCAGTCCTCAAAGGCTGAGGCAGCGCCCGTCCTGCCCCTCCTCTGCCTCGGTGCCCAAGCCCCTCTCCCCACCTGCGTTCGCACCTGTTGCAGCCACTTGAGCCTCCGTGCCTCCTCCTCCTGCTTCCTGCGCACCTCCATCTCCTCCATCTTCTTGGCCGCTGCCTTTTTCTTGGCCTTCTCCTCCGCCAGTCGCTCCTCCTTGGCCTGCAGAGCCCACCCACATGTGCCCGTGAGAGCAGCCCTTCCCACCCAACCCTACCAAGCAGGCCCCAGAACTGGGACAGGCACCCCATGCCCCTGGAAACCCAGCCTGGGCCTCCCAGCCCAGGGGAGGGGCACCTGGAAGCCAGCCCTGCCCAAGGGCCTCAGCCCACCCCTCGCAGCGGGCTGCCTGGTCCAGAGCAGAGGCTGCCCACCCTCAGCTGGGCTCAGAACTAACTCCAGGACCCCTGAATGGTTAGGAGAGGGGTCCAGGGTGTCAAACCCGTAACTCCCTGAGGGATACAGCCCTAACCTTCGGGCCGCCAGGTGTGAGCTGTGTGAGCCCCAGCAGGGAACAGCCCCCGAGACCTGGCTGCCCGCCAGCCCATGGCTCGCACCTTCTCATTCTTCTCATCCAGCTGAGCAAACTTCTGCTCAATCTGTTTCTTCTTCTCCTCCTTCATCTGCTCCACCCGCTCCCGGGCCTGCATCACCTTGCGGAGGCGCTCCTCGCGCTTCCTGTGGGCACAGGGCAATCAGGGAGAGCCTGCCGTGGCCTGGGGTAGCCAGGAGCCGGCCACTTACAGCTGGGCCACTTACAGCTTCACCTCCTCCAGCCGCCGCCGCTTGTCCTCTTCCACCTTCTGCCTACGCAGCTGCTCTGCCTCCTCCTTCCGCCGCAGGTTCTCCAGTCGCTGCCGCTCCTTCTCCTGGGTGGAAGGGGGCATGAGCGGAGACAGCCTAGTGCTGGGCTGGGGACCTGGCTGGCCCCAGGGAATCCCCCAGGCCCACGGGCTCCAGCAAGATGGACAGCAACATCAGACTGCTTCTGGGGGCAGAGTTGCCGCCAAACACCCTCCATTCCCACCCAGATTGAGGCCTGGGCCATCCATGTTTCCTCTTAGGGGACCCTAAGGCCTCCCACAGGCCTTCATCACAAATGTCTCCAACTCTGAACTCTGTTCAGCCCTGGCAAATTGTGGGCAGAACAAAAATCAGGTTCAAAATTGGATGTAAGCTCTGATGATAACTATGTGACCATGCCTTTGAAAGGAGAATAAAGAATAAGTTTGGGAATTTATCATTATTATGCTTTATAAGTTTTTTACTCTGTGTATGTGCTTTAACAAGTAACCACAAACATTCTTAAGACAACTGGAAAAATGGAAAATCTCAGCAAGTAAAAGATCTAAAAAACCAAGTGGAAATTTTAGAACTAATAATAACTGAAATAAATTTAGTAGATGGGTCCAAGAGAAGAAGTTAGGCATCCGTTAACACATGAAGATAAATTAATAACATGTATCCAATCTAAACACAGAGAAAACATATTGAAGAAAAATTAATAGCACCAAGGTAACCATGAGATGACACAAAAAGGCCTATCATCTGTGCCATCGTCATCCTACAATGGGAAGAGTGCCATGCAGGGGGGAAAATGTGGAAAAATAATGGCTTGGAAAGACTCCAAATTTGGTAAAAGATATACATTTACAGATTCAAGGTCATCAAAACCCAAGCAGGATAAACCCAAGGAAACCCACGTCAAGCTACATGATAATCACACTGTTGAAAACTTAATACAAAGGGGATAATTCTCAAAAGCAGCCACAAAAAAGACACATTACCTAGAGGGGCAGGTGAACAATGACTTGAATGACCAAAAACTTCTCATTAGAACTATGGATGCCAGAAGGAAGTGGCACAACGTGTGTAGAGTGCTGAAAGAAAAGAACTGCTCCCCCAGAACTCTATTCAGTGTTCAGTGAACTCTATTTCAGTATTCAGTGAAAGTATCCTTCAGAAATGAAGTAAAGAGATTTTTTTCAAATGGAGAGAAACTGGAGAACTTGTTGCCAGCAGACTCCTTCTCAAAGAATCACTCAAGTCCTCCAGACAAAAAGAAATGATACCAGAAGGACAGGCACAACATCAAAAGTGAAAGAGCAATAAAAATAATAAATATCTGGGTAAATAGCAATAGACTATTCTTTTACTCTTGAGTTCTTTACTGTGTTTGACAGTTGAAAGCAGAAATTATAAGAATGTCTGACAAGGTAGTCAATGTACAACGAGGTAACATGTGAGACAAAAAGAGCACACGCTGGGGAGCGTAGTAAGATTTCCACAACACAATCGAACTGCTATCAACTCTAAAGTGATTGTGAAACTTAAGTATGTAATGCCTTGAGCAACCAGTAAAAAACTGCAAAATGCAATAGTCAAAATCACAATAAACAAATTAAAATGCAATACTGAAAATATTCAAGTGAAGTTTTATAAAGTATATTTTACTACATAGTTTTCAACGTAAACTTTACTATATAATTTTTTAACATAAACGTTTGGTGGTTGTTGTTTTAAAGACAGAGAAAGGAACAGAAGGAAAGAGTGATGACCATGAGCCACAGAGGCTGAGCTGAGTGCAGGAAGGACCTGGAGGACACTGGCCTTTGGGAGGCTCCCATGGGGAGCGAGTGGGTGGCCTTTGGCTGACTCTCGCTCTCCAATGGTCCAGACCCACAGAAGACCAGCAGGAGGCCGGACCTCCATCCACTACACCCACCTGCTCTTCTATGAGGAAAGCACCTTGGAAGCAAAAGCCAGTGGTCCAGAGGGTGCCCACCACCATGTCTTCCTGCCCTGAGAGCCCAACAGACTCCTGCTTTCTACAGTGCTCAGCAAAACAGGTTTTTGTCCCAAAACTTGAGTGCAAAAGTTTCCCAGCGCAGGTCAGAGAACTCATCCCGTTGCACCGTGGATTGCATAGAAGACAAGAGCTATTTGTGTCATGGAATGTGTTTCCTCTTTGCCCCAACCCTGAAAGGTGGGCTGGATTGTCCCTGCTCCCCAGAGGCCACCGTCAAGGCCACAGCGAAAGGTGAGAGCAACCCAAATGCTTGTGCAGTCCATTCCACCTCCAGAGGCTTCAACCAAGCAGCGTCCCTTCATGCCAAGCCCAGTGCTGGGTGCTTGACACACAGGACTCTCTGGTTCATCCAATCCCTATGAGGGGCCAAGGAAACTTACACCCAAAGGTTAGGAAACTAGTCCAAGGCCCCAAGGCCCGTGTAACCTACCTAGGCTCCTGCAGGACTGTCCTACCCACCCCTCACAAATGCTCTGGGCAGGGACCTGGGCTCCGTAAAGCAGGAAAAGGCAGTTTCCTGGACCCCTCGGCCATCCCCGTGAGCCCTGCCAGGCTCTGACCAGTATGCATGGGGCACAGGAGTTCACCGCAGGGTGAAAAATGTAGTTCACTACTGTGGGCCCAGATGCCTAGCAGGCACCTAGCAGAAAAATAGGCATATAAGGTCTCCCAGCCTGACTGGCATATTGGAAGGTAAGCCGTTGGCACGGCCACCCAGCAGGGACCAGCCTCCTTGCAGAGAGGCAAGTTCAGGGCCCACCTGTCCACTGCTGGGAAGCTCTTGATCTGCTAGGCCCCAGGGCAGTGCTGCTGAGGCCTTGGGGCGTCCAGTGGAGGCAGAAGCCCTCCCAGCGGGCCCTTCGAAGCGGCAGGGGGAACTTGAGGAATGAAGCAGCTGCAGCCTTGCCACCCAGGAGCCTCCAGAGAGCCAGGGCTGCAGGCCCAGCAGATCTCGGCTCTCAGTCGCTCCTCGCTCACAGCTAGCGGCCCACCTTAGCTCTGAGGTGTCTGAGAGGAGAACAGCTTCTGTGGCCTCCTTCCCAGAGGCCACTGCTGACTGTTCCACCCTCAGTCACCTGCCTGGCCTTCAACCACGCATTGCTCTGCCCTCCTCTAAGGTGGTAGCTCAGGTGTGTGACCCAAAAAATCTCAGCTTCAGACCCTGAGTGGAAGCCCAGGGCTGGGGAGGAGCGAAGGAGGAGGCTGTGGGGAACTTCAAGCTGTGGCCCTGGCGACAGCTGCAGGTCACACACCCTTTGCTTCCTTCTACCTCAAGGAGGTTCCGAGGCTCTTCCTGGTAGCAGAATCAAAGGCAGAGGGCCAGGCTGGGGGCCTGGTCCAGCACGGCCAGCACCTCCAGCTGCCACCCAGAGCCTCTGGCCCCCTCCCACCTCCCTCGCAGCTCCCGCTCAGCATGTTAGTGCCACTACAGGAGCTGTCAGTTTTGCAAGGAGGGCTACAGTTGCTAAGCGCTAGGGGAAGCGAGGTTACAGGGACAGGAAAAGGTTTTACTTACAACAAAGCTGCACTGTGGAGGAGAGGAGACAAGGAGAAAGCCAAGAGTTAATGGCAGGCCAGGGAATGTCCTAGAAAGCTGGCCAGGCTCCCAGCTATGCCAGCGAGTCCACCCGGGCCCGCACCCTCTCGCTCACCCAGCCCTCATCCCCAACGAGTCGGAGTGTCATAAGGGTGCCCCTCACCTCAGCCCTCAAGGCGCTGAGGGTGTGGGATGGGTGGGCAGGGTAGGGGCCTGCTGGGCCACTTCTGCAACTGCACAGACCCGGGGCCAAGCCCCAGGGGTCATACTGAGTTGGCCAAGCCTCTAGGCCATAATACAGAGCCCAAGAGGGCAGGACAGATCGCAAGCATCTAGGCAGCCTGTGGCCAGAGAGGCTGAGCTGGCCTTTGACCAGTGCCAGGTCACACCTGCCTGGGCCCAGACGCACACTGCTCTCAGCAGCCATGGCACATGCAGGAGCCCCCAGCCATGCAGCCCAGCCTTAGCCAAGCTCGGCCCAGGGCGCAGGCTCCCTCACCTTAGGGTCCATGCGCAGGGGAGTGTTGCGCTTAATGAAGGATTTCATGACACTGCTGCGGGAGGCCGAGGTCGGGGTCATGAGCATCTGGTTCTTCTGCACGGTGTGCAGGAAGGTCCGGAGAGGCCGTACCACCTGCAGGCGAGGACCAGGGTCAGGACCCGCAGGCCGCGTGGAGGCAGCAAGGGCGGGCAGATGCCTGCTCACCTTGCTGGCTGGGCAGGGCGGGGAAGGGGTCTTGCTCCGGGGGGGCTGCAGCTCCTCATCCTCCAGGGAATGCTCCTCGTCCTCCAGCTCACTCACGGCCTGCTTGTAGCTGCGTTTCCTCCTGCAGGAGCGCGGGCCACAGCAGCGTCACGGGGCTGTCCCCGGGAACTCCCTCCAGAGCCAGAGCCACACCCCATGAAAGGGCGCCCCTACCAAGAAAACAGACCACCCACGGGCCTCTATGCTGCAGAGGTGGGTCTCCCTGACTGACCCTCCACTGCCCAGTCAGAGGAAGGGAAGGGACCAGCCCAAGGTCACATGAGTGGGAGGACACAGAAGGACAGGGCCCAGGATCTGGTCACACACTCCCAGGCCAGGCTCGTCCCGCAGCATCAAGCTGCCTCCTTCATTAAGTCAGAGCACCAGGCCCCACTCCTGCTGAGAGGAAACGGAGGCTCCTGACCGCACACCCATCCCCCGCAAGAGAAGACTCGAGCTTCATGCACCCCTGGGCCCCCTGGCATAGCGGCCTACACTCCCCTTCCCAAATACAAACCTGGCGCTCTGCGGTGCCTCCTTGGGGCCGTCTGCTTGACCAGTCCTGGCCTCTGTGAAGAGAGCCTTTTCAGTGAGGGCGCAGGGGCAGCTGGGAGGGCGCAGGGGCAGGTGCCCCTGGTGGCAGCTGTGGCAGGGGCAAGTGCGGCAGGGCAAGGCCCTCTTCCAGGCAGGCCCCCAAGTGGCCAGTGGCAGAAAAATCAGCCGTAGCACCAACTGGCCTTGACAGACCTGTGGCCACACAGAGCCCAGCCCGCTATCCCCAGCCCACAGGCCTCTTACCCCCAAGCCTCTGTGACAAGAACAACAGGACAATTCCAAGGTGGCCCCAAAAACAACCCGGCCTCCGCTAACAGCAGGGGAGTGTGGGGGGCACTTTCAGGAGCGGAAGCCTATGGAACAGACCCCTTGACCAGCTTCGAAATCCCACCCCTCCTGGCCCTTTCAGCTGGAGCCAATGGGACAGGAGGTGGCGGAGGGCTCCTAAATAGGGTTTCCATGGGGGTGTGGGGTCAGTACATTTTGTTTCACTGCCAGGAGAAAGTGCTGATATCTCCCCTGCCCTCTGACACTATTTCAAAGGGTCCTTTATTCCAAGGGGCTATGGGGCAGGCACAGCCATCGTCTCTGACCCGGTTCGCTGGGGAAGCAGGGTCCAAGGCTTCACACTACAATGCTGTTCCCACCAGGGGCTCATGAGCGGGACCCCAGGGCACCTCCGGCAGACTGGGGACACTGGAGCCTGGAGCCTACAGCTCTCCTGCTCTCTGCAGACAGGGCGAGAACGAGCCGGCAGCCAAGGACAGGACAAGGCCCCGCACATAGCTCCTCCTCTGCCCCACTGAGTGGAGTGCAAGGCCTTGCACCTGGTCAAGCCCTTCCCCCTACTCCGCCACTCCATTCCCATAGGCACGTGGCAGCAGCTCCCGCCCAAAGGCAGGAGGTGAAACCTGCAGACTCAAAGGAGATCTACAACCCCCTGGGCCTCATTTACCTTCAGCCTGTCAGCCTAGACAACGCAATTCCCTCTCCCCAGAGAAACTCAGGCTGAGGCCACCAAGGCTGGCGTGGCCCTGGGTGTCACATATGGCAGGTCAGGAAGACTCACCTTGCTGCCCTACGGAGGGTGTTTCCTGACCACAAGACACAGGCTGTGAGCTGGGTGTGCTACTAGCCGTCTTGGTGGCACCATGGGGTGACGATGTACTCCCTTCATTCTTGGGGACCTGGGGAAAGAAGCAAGACTTTAGAGATCTGGACCTGGGGCTCACAGCATAGAGCACAAGCCCTAAGGCCCTCCAGCCCTCCCCACCTCCCTAGCCTGCCCGCCTCACCTCCAGCTCAGCCTCCTCTGCAGGCTCAGCCTCCTTGCTGGGGTTCTCCTTAGGGCTGAAAGCAGAGCAGGAGATACCATGGGACCCACCCAGCCCAAATCGCCCCCACAGGAGCTCCGCCCCCAACCCTGGCCTGGACCACAAACCCACAGCCCCAGGCAGGACAGGAGGACAACAGCCAGAGCCAGCGGCTCCCTGGAGCGTCTGCTGCCTGGATAGATGAAGGATGTCCTTTTCAGAATTTGGCTTCATCTCACCCTCTATGAGGGCCTCGATTCCGGGTGTGAGCCCTTCCCCAGCTCTGCCTCAGCCCCATGGGCCTCAATGAGCCACATCTCTTTTGAGGCCTGCTCTCCATTCCCCATGGGGCCAGCAAAGCCAGCAGCTCTGCCCAGTTGCCCCATCTTGCCACCCCAAGCACTGACTCTCTGCTCCAAAGCAAGGGTGTGGGCTAGTTTCAGCGATGGCAGATGTGGCCTGAAGGAGCAGGAGTGCTGGCTCAAAGCAGCGCCAGGGTGTAATCCTGGAGCAGCGAGCGGCCGAACCCCCACGGGGCCCCCATTCTACCCAAATCTGAATGTGGCTCCTCATGGCTGTCCTAGCTCATCCACGGGCCTTTAATCTGACAACCTACAGACCCCAGGCCCCAGGATAAGGCTTGGCGGGGTCAAGGTTAGGCCAGGGGTGACAAGTGGTACTGATAGGTGATGTAGGGAGGCTTGACACTGTGCCACTTGCTGCCCGGTTAGACCGGGCAGGGGCAGGGCTGCGGCAATGGGCAGTCCGGGGGGAAGAAGGGATCGGGCACAGGAAACGCTTCCATTGCTGGGGTGCGCCTGGACAACAGGGCCCCGGCGTGTCCCGCCCAGCCCTGGGGAGGTGCCCAAGCCCTGGTTTACTGAACTCACCTGGCTTTCTGGGGCACCTCAACATTCAGGAGCCTCTCCAGGTAACTGTGGCCTGAGAGGAAAACCAAGGAACAAAAGATAACGTCAAAAACTGGCCAGGTGCCACTCTAAGGGGTCCAGGGAACCAGGCTGGTGGGGGCTTGGCCACCCCGTGTCTGAAGTCAGATCCTCTCAGAGACCCTTCCCTTCACCAGACAGACCCTCTCCATATTACAGGACAAAAATGTCCAGTTTCACTTAAGACTGTCCTTGATGAAAGTAGAGACTGCTTTATTAAATTTAAACTGAAATACACGTCTCTCTAAGACTGTGTGATGAAACAGGAAGCACGCAGAATGTGCGAGTCTCTGTGAAGAGCACTCACAAGTGAGCTCCCAGCTAAACCAGCCACTCTTCCCTTGGAACACTGTCTTTAACTGAAGGAACAACGGACACACGGGGGTTATTCAAGCTTGGGTATTTGGCAGGTGTTTTCTTAAAAATGAACAAAGTGACAAAGTCACTTAAAACAATTAACAGTATTTGTTGCCAATAATGAAAAACTGAACCCTGGCCAGTGTGGCTCAGTTGGCTGGGCATTGTCCCACAAACTGAAGGGTCACCAGTTCGATTCCTGGTCAGAGCACATGTCTGGGCTGCGGGGTCCATGCTCATCCCTAGTTGGGGTACTTGCAAAGGTAGCCAACTGATGTTTCTCACATCGATGTTTCTCTCCCTCTCTTTCTCCCTCCCTTCCCCTCTCCCTAAAATAAAATAAAAACATTAAAAATAAGTAAATAAATAAAGGCAGGGGTGGGGGCACCAAAAATAGAATTTTGGAAAATGGGTATCCACCACCATGAACTTCAGAGCTTCCTAACACCTAAAGATTATTTCTGAGGAGACCAGCACTGTCTCCCTCCTCCTTCCACCTCAAGGCAGAGAGAAGCCAGATAAGCTTGGGTCAAATGCAAATCAAATGAGAAGGCTGAAGGGGAGGGGCCCCCAGGATGACTTAAGTGCTGGCCGTCTGGATTCCGCTCCCCAAGCAGGAGCAGGCTCTAGAGTCTCTCCCACCCTCTCCCTGGAGGCCCAGGTTCGCCAGCCCCTGGGGCCTCTTCCAAGGATAAGTCAGGCCTGCGGAAATCTCCAAGGCAGGTCAGGACCATCTGGGTCCTTCTGAAGATCCAAAAACAGACCGTGGGTCAGACCACACACCTGCACCTGCCCCAGGTTTAGGATCCCGAGCCCCGTGGCCCAGAGCAAGCCCTTCCCCAAGTGGGGAAGGGAAGAAACCTGGCTGGGTGAGGGGCCCTCACCTACCCAACTGAGCCCCAGCCCGGGGCCTGCCACCAGACCTCCTTAGCAAATGGCTGCCGGGCTGGAAAAGACAAAACACGCGGGCCCAACCCCAAGCGCCTCAGTTTATAGACTCAGTGACCTCTTGAAGCCCCCATTTCCTCCTCAGTGAAGTGGGGAAATCCTAACAGGCCAGCAGCACTGCTGCAGGGACCAAGTGGGACAACCTTGAGTTTTATAAATCTTCACATGCCAGGCAGACATCAACGATAATTTTGATACACATTAATGTACAACCTGGCCCATCTTCTCCCTCAGTCCCATTCCTTCTCCATTCTCTGGCTGGACCCTTGTGGCAACCTCCTGCCTGGTCACCCTGCCTCCTTCCTTCCCTCCCTCTTTGTCATTTTTTTATACAGTGCCAGGAAGCTCCCAACAGCCATCAAGGGTCACATCCCCCAACCCACATGCGCCCCAGATACCCCAGCCCTTGCCATTTCATGCCTCAGGGTCTTCATACAAGCTGTTCCCTCTGCCGGGGACACCTTTCCCCACATTTCTGCCACCTGGCAGGACCCCACCTCCTCCAGGCAGCCAGCCCTGACTCTTAGAGCTGCCTGTCCTCCTCTGCGGCTCCCACTGGGGCAATGGTCCACTAAAGAAACAACCCTTTAAAATGATGCTACTATCACTCCAGTTGGCAGATGAGGAACTGAGGCCCATGAAGAAGTTCCTGTAACCTGCCCAGGGTCGCAGAGGAGGTAGCTGGCTGAGCTGACACTCAAACCCAGCTATCTGTCCCTTCCAGAACAAGTTGGCTGTGATGACTATTCACATCTCTTTTCTTCAGTGTCTCCAGACTAAACAGCTCCACTGATCGGAGCAGCCCACAAAGGTGGTGACCCTCAGGGAGCTGCTACAGGTGGAAAGGAGGACACGCTGGCCCTGGGCAAAGGCCCGGGTTCAAGTCATCAGAAGGGCATAGGGACCTCAGTTTTCTCATCCGTAAAACAAGAGGGCTGGTCGAGATCTGTACTGTCCACTGTAGTAAACACTAGCAAAGCGTGGCTGTTTAAATCTAAATTAAGTAAAATGTAGTAAAAGTAAAAATTCAGTTCCTCAATCACATCAGCTACATTTTGTGGCTAGCAGATATGGAACATTTACATCATCACAGAAAGCTCCATGGACAGCTCCTTGTTAGATTATTAGATGGTCTCCCAGAGGCCCTGCGGCCAAGCTGGGCACCCAGGACCCCCACACAGCACTGCTGGGCCCCAGACTCACAGATGATGCGGGCAGAGGCAACAGGCTCTTTGGTGGCCTTCTTGGCAATTCTTCTGCTTGACCTGCGAATGGTGCTCTCTGGTTTGGCCACCAGGGAATACTTTTGGGCCAGAGAGTCCTGGGGATCCAGGGAGGCTGGGGCGATCAGGCTGCGCCGCACTGACTGCCGGTCCGCACGGGAGCCCGTGGCCGTGGAGAAGTTCTCCGGCAGGAGGGGAGCCAGCACCCGCTGCTGCCACGGGGAAGCTGGAGAGCCAGGAGAGTCCTGGGGGCCTGGGGAGGTCCGTGCGATCCTGAGCTTGGAGGCAGACCGGCCTGCTTTGACCCCTTGGCCCTTGGGGTCCTGGGGTGTAGCCATCAGGGAGCTCACAGCAACAGACTCCAGTCTCCCAGCCTCTGACTTCTTGGGTGTTGATTCTTCGTCTGGTATGACAGTGACCTGAGAGGCCGGAGCAGTGGCTGGAGCCAGGGTTGGGGAGGGAGCCCGGGCAGAGCTGAGCCGGCTGAGGTGCTGCTCAGCGCTGCAGCGCTCGCCGACACCTATCTCCACCACGGGCACCAGCTGGCACTGGGTGACACTATTCTTGGGCTTCCGGGTCAGCACTGTGGGAGAGTCCGGGGTGGGTGAAGCAGCCACCATGGTGGCGGCCGCAGCTGCGGCCGCAGCACGGGTCACCCGCCGCGGGACAGAGCCATTCTCCGCTGCCACAATGGCCAGCTGCTCCACCTTGTCCTTGCTGCGCAGGTGCCGGGAGCTCAGCTGGCTGCTCCGAGTCTTCCTGCGGGACAACCTGCCAAAGGCGGCACAGCAGAAGCTGAGAGGACCCAGCAGGGCAGGGAGGCACCCCAAAACTCGAGCGAGGTGCCAGTCTCCCCAGGGGCTACCAACTCAGGTGGAGTGTAAAACGGAGGGCTTGGAGGCAAAAGAGCATGGATCTAGCTCAGGTTCTGCCCCCCGTTGCCATGAGACCCGGGGCCACTCCTCTCTGAGCCTTATCCTTCCAATCTGTAAGCTGAGGGTAATGCCAGTCCTCACCAAACTGCTGGGGAGAGTAAATTCATAGAAACCTCTCACTGACTGAGCTCACGCTGCGCTAAGCACCCTGTACAGGCCTTGCTCATGTTATCGCTTAATCCACAAGGCGGCCCTGAGAAGCAGAGACCATTCTCACTTCATTTATTTACTTTTTTAAGATTTCATTTTTTTATTTTTAGAGAGAGGGGAAGGGAGGGAGAAAAGAGAGGGAGAGAAACATCGATTGGTTGCCTCTCACTCATGCCTTGACCGGGGACCTGACCCACAACCCAGGCTCGTGCCCCAACTGGGAATCAAACCAGCGACCCTTCTGTTTGTGGGACAACACCCAACCCACTGAGCCACACCAGTCAGAGCAGGGGCCATTCTCACTTCAGATTTGAGGAAACTGAAGCTCAGAGAGGGGGGAAAACTAACCAAAGGACATCTAGCTGCTAAGGGGCAGTGCTGGGGTAAGTACTCAGGACCTCCTGACCCCAAGACCCAGCCCCCTGTATGCGCAGTCTGCAGCCCACGGTCATTTCTATGGGCAGCACAACAAGCACAGCACAGGGAGCTGAGCCGCAGACCCCTGGTCCACAGCTCTGGCGGCTCTCACCCAAGCAGAAGGTTGGACTCTTTCTTTTCCCACGTCTGGAAACCCTTCCCATCCTCAGGGCCCAGATCAAACACTCCTAACCCGACACACACACGCCCAGGGCTCCATGGTCTTGAGTTACGCTTTGTTTCCCCACGATATTTCACCCCTCAGCACAGCTACTGGGGCACCCACCGCCACTCCTGCAGGCCTCTGCTCCCCGTTAACACTGGAAACCAAACTCGCCTTGGTAGGCGCCAAGCCTCCAGACCCTGCCTGCCCAGCCGGCCCTCCCCTGGCTACTGGCCGCCTGCCCCACCCGCCCTCCCCTGGCTACTGGCCGCCTGCCCCACCCTGCCCCCGGGCCTCCTACCTTTTCCGGATGGGGTCCCTGTTTTCATCCTGAACATAAGAAATGCGCTTCTTCTTCCGTCGGTTCTTCTGAGAAGGCGTTTTGGGCATCAGCTCAGGCTCTCTGCTGAACTCTCTGTTCAGTATAAGATGGGTGATATTTGTCACTGCCTGGGAACTACCGGCCTCGTCCTCCACCCAACCCAGCCCAGCCCAGCCCAGCCCAGCCCCTGCCCGTTTCCTGGCAGTGACAGGTCAAGCTGGGGTGACCAGCATCAAGGGGGCTCTCCAAGGCCATGTGCAAGGGAGCAAGGCTGCTGGGCAAGGGTGTGCGGCCCATCCTCTGAGGCCCGGCGCAACACCTCTCCCCCGTCTTCCTGTTATACTAGGCTGGGCCCCCAGCACACTGGGCACTCAGGACAGACCCCTGGCAGCCTGTCTGTCTTGCCTGTCCAGTGAGGAAGTGGGCCGCTCTGTCCCCAAGGCAACAGCAGCCAGGTAGCCCCCAGCACTGGCAGGCTCCTGCCCTCACCTGGTGAACATGCGCTTGGCCTCCTCCTCGATCTCCTCGAGCCACACCAGGTCCTTATTGTCCACGTTGCAGACAAACTCCAGGAGCTTCTGGTCACAAAGCTCTAGCAGGTGAATGTGCCCTGGGGCCGTCGTCCCCATGGTGGCTCTCTCTGGTGAAAAACAAAGACAAGAGGCACAGGGGCTCAGGCTGGGGACTGGAACCTTCTCCAGTGGAAGAGCCTGCCAGGCCACAGCCCCCATTCCCCAATCACCACAAGGCACCAAGTGCCTGAATCAGCCTCCTCCACCCCCTCACCCCCGTCCCCGCTCACAGCCATTCCCCAGAGATACAGAATTCCAAATGCCAATCCGCTAGCTTCATTTTTGCAAAAAGAAGGGCCATCCTACTTACACTTTTCCAATGCCTTGCCTCTACCCCACCCATAGTACCCTGTCCCCACACTTCCCAGCCAATTCTGGTTTCAATAGTCCTTACAAATGGCCGTGGTGGGGGAGGGCGGGGTACAGGGCTTAAAATGACAAGGCATGGCCAACTGCCTTCCTGGATCAGGGAGAAACCAGGCCTACCACAGGACCCCTGTCCACCTGCCCAAGCACAGCCCTGTTCTTACTCTCTGGTGGGCACTCCTCTTCCTCCCTGTGGGTGAGCAAGGGCTTAGACACAGCCATCCCGAGCTACACGTGAGCAGACCCCAGGCCTCAGGCCAAAGAACATCGAATCCAACTGCCTCTTCAAGAGGCCAGTGAACAGAAGAGGTTCTGCGTTCCAAAGGACCCAGTAAGAAAGTAGGGGGCAGAGACGGCTCCTCTCCAAGAAGCCCCACAACCCTCTCTCTCCCTTGAGCTGAAATTGTCCTAGAAACAGATGAGGAAGCATCAAGGGAATGGATAAGCAACATCTTATTTTTAAGAAAATTTGCGTAGAACTATTGGACAGGGGCGGGGGGATACAAAACCAGTTTTCAATTAATTCCTCGAAAACTAGTAGCTCAGGCATCCTCCTTAATACTCAATTATATCATAATCACCAGAATCCCAGGCAAGGAAGAAGCGTTCCATGCAGTCGTAGCAGGGGCACAGTAAATATTCCGACTGCATGAATGGCAGAAAGAACAAGTGAAGGGGCGACAGCCATAAATAACAGACTACATGTCTCATGCCATAGCAGTGACCCACCACCCCGATCTGTACCTTCGAAACCAAGAACGATGCAAAGCTCAGCCTCACACCTAGAAGGAGGGACTAGGCTAAGTCACCCCGTAACACCCAATAGAGCTTAACACCAGGTCAGGCTGCAGCCCCACGGAATCGGATTTCCAGGGCACACAGTCTTTGTTCCTCAAAACAAGCTCTGCCCTCTGCCTGGAACCTTTTGGCTCCTATTTTATACAGCTCTCTCCTCATTACTTGCGTCTCAACATCTCAGGGAGGACCTGACCACCAGCCATGGTCCCATCCATCAATTTCAGTTCTGTGCATGGCACTTGGGTGACTATATGTTTGCTTACTGCCTGTCTCTGCCCACTAAACATTAGTGGGCAAGCCCTTGTCTGCCTTGCCTATCGCTGAAAGTCCAGAGCCCAGCACAGCGCCTGGCATGAAAGAAATATTGTTGAATGAATCAATCCACCTATCAACTCTACACCTTAAAACAAACATCCTGCAGGCTTTCTTCCCACCCACCCCATCCCCCTGGAGGACACCAAATAAGTTCATTCCGCACAGGTTAGGGCATGCCATACTTATCCAAAGCTTTGCTCCTAAATGCCAAGAGCAGCACTAATCTGGGTAGGGCCCAATGGGCAGGATCACAGAAGCTTTGCAGAGACAGCGCTGCAGCCAGCCAGTCACGGGCATGGCCTCTCCACCACCGTCCCTTTGGCTCTCCCCAGCCCCTCTGCTCTACAGCTCCGCCCTAGCAAAGTGCAAAATCCCAGTTCCAGGCCAGGAAAGAGAAAATTGTTTAAGGAAGCCAAAGCCAAAACCAAAACAAAGGTTCGCAGAAAAGCAACAACTTGCTTTCCTTTTTTCTTAAGTCTTTGTTCAAAATGGCAAAGTAGGTGACAGCGCCTTTCACGAAGTGTCAGAAAGGGTTTGGGCTTCTTCCACGGGGATGTTTGTTTTTAGCAGACCTCAGCTTTAAAAAGGGTCACCGTAAATTAGAACAAAGGTAACCCTAAGAAAGGAGGGATCAGTGTACAAAGAACGAGGCTCCCGGGAAAAGCAGCAAAAATGTCTTCAGCCCATGTCAAAACCTGTGCACAAACCCAGAGCACCTGATACCCCACCAAAAGAGAAAGGAGCTCATTGTTCCCTTCCAATACTTCCTTCACACCATATACCAGACTAGAGGCCCCACTGCCCTCCTCTGCAATGCCTGTTCTTTTGAGGGTGCAGGAAGTCAGGGACCTCACCCTCTACCACACTTCAGTGAAGAACGGTCATAATAGCTGCTCCATTTACGAGAGTCCTACTCCATGCCCAGGTCAGGCATCATCTCATTTAATTCTCACCTCAACCTCAAGGATACCCATGTGTGGATGAGGAAACTGAGGCTAAGAGAAGTTAACAGTCACCCTGGGGCCTGGATTTAAACTCTGTTCTTAAACAAGCTGTGCCCCTACTCGATTTCAGCCTCTGAAAGGCAGGCGTCAGGTTTGGGCTCTGGGCGCCCCCAGAGAAAGTCACAGTGGGTGGACGGGGCTGAACCGCTGACAGCGAACATGCCTAGGGTGTGACAAGGGACGGCATTGCCACCCGGAAATGGCTAGTTTAACATGTTGCTCAGCTGGAGGCGGAGGTGTTGAGCGAAGGTTAACTGCACAGAAATGAAATCTGGCATAATTCCATCACACACCGTGGTCGGTGTGCGCTTGCTCTGAGTCCAAGTCAACAAATGGCCTCGCAGGCACACAACAAGGGTGGTAGGCACCGGGAGGGCACGAAGTTATTTTCTCGGAACCTGGTGACCTAGGTGGAAGGTGAGGGGTTATCTCAAGTCCCAGGACCAAGGAAGGTCCCCTCGCCAAGTGAAAGAGGTGACCCGTCCATTCCCAAGCCGAAAGGGGCCAGAGGGTCACGCCCCCGGTCTAGAGTTGGCGGGAGGGGAAACAAATCGCTAACCACCCTACACCCCCGCCGGTCGCCCACGCGCACTCACTCGGTTGCACCGCGTCTACTAAGCGCTGCTCCGATCCAAGTCCAGCGGCCTCCCTAGAAGAGCTCCCCGCCCGCCCAGATCCTTAGCTCCCGAACTCTGAGGCTCCCGGCTACTTGGGAAGCAATAGGGCCGCGTAGCGCGGGCGAAACCTACGATTTTCAAAACTGAAAGCTCGGCCAATCCCCGACAAATTTGTCTGAGCGTCTGCAAAACTCTAAGCCAATCCTATAAGAGAAAGCGCCAGTCAGACTACCTATTGGCTATTTGGATTGGCAGTCTGCGGGACGAATAGGCGGGGAAGGGAAGCGTTGAAACTTTAACTTGCTCAGCTTCCGGGAGCCGCTACCGCGACCCAAAGAGGAAGTCGCCCGTCGGCGGAGGATGAGCGCGCAAACCCTCGCACGCCGGAACTACAAGCCCCAGCGTGCATTGCGAAGGCCCCGCGGGGCTTAGAAGGTGCTTCTGGAGTCACGGAGGGGCAGGAATCTTGGATTCCGGAGGTTACGCTCGTCCGGGGAGTCTTCTACTTTGCCGTTTCATCGTCTTATGTAGTCTTCCATGCAGGACGACGACATACTTCCGACCTCTGTCACTTTTGAAAAGTACAAAAAAAAAAAAAAAGTGCCGAGTCGCGCCAGAGTTTATGTTTATGTAGAGCCCTCTGTTACCTCGGGCACCAGCAGTCTGAATCCCACCTGTAATGATCCGGAGTGTTTCTTTGAAGCAGTGGTTCTCAGCTGGAGCGATATTATGCCCCCACCCACCCCACCTCATACTTGGCAATGTATGAATACGCGTTTTGGGAGGGGGAAGGGAGTTGCTACCGGCATTTAGTGGGTACAGGCCAGCCACGCTACACAACACCCGTCAGTGCATACATAGGCTAGCCCCAACAGCAAAGAATTACGTGGCTCAAAATGCCAGTATCACTGCTGTTGAGAAACTGCTGCAGACAATCACATTACTCTGTGTGTCAGGATTGCTATAGAGTATAAAAGCAAAATCTGGAAGAGTTATTTGCACACCCATGCTCATTGCAACATTATTTATAATAGTCAAGAGGTGGAAGCAACTTACATGTCCCTCGGTAGATGAACGAGAAAAGAAAAAGTCCTTGGCACATTTTTTAATCAGGTTCTTCGGGTTTTGTTGCTATCATCGTCGTTGAGTTGTAGGATTTCTTTATACAGGGTTCCTATGAAAATAGTACAATAATTAATAATAATACAAGAATAAACTCCGTTTTCAATACTCATAACTGTAAACCTACTTTTGGCCCACCCTGTATACTTTTTGAATATTAACCACTTATCAGATATATGGTTTGCAACTACTTTCTCCCATCCTTCCAAAACTTTGTAACTCTGTTGACTCTTTGCTGTGCAGGAGTTTTAAAGTTGGGTGTAGTCCTATTTGTTTACTTTTATTTTGTTACCTGTACTTTTAGTATCAGAGCCAAGAAATCATTACGAAAACCTACATCAAGGAGCTTTTCCCCCATGTTTTCTTTTAGGAGTTATAGTTTCAGGTTTTATATTTAAGTCTCTAATCCATTTTGAGTTAATTTTTGTGAGTGGTGTAAGATAGGTATCCAGTTTTCCCAACACCACTGATTGAAAAGACTGTCCTTTCCCCATTGTGTATTGTTGGTGCCCCCATCAAAGATTAGTTGACTGTATATACGTGGGTTTAATTCTGGGCTCTCTATTTTGTTCCATTGATCTGTGTGTCTGTTTTTATGACAGTACCATGCTTTTGAATTACTAAGGTCTTTGTCCCTTGTTTCATTTCATTCATTGTGTTCTTCAGCTCCAGAATTTGTTTGGTTAATTTTTAGAGTTTCTATCTCTTTGCTTCATCTTATTTTGTTCATGTATTGTGTTCCTGATCTCACTGAGTTGTCTGTATTCTCTTGTAGCTCACTGAGCTTCTCTTAAACAGTTATTTTGAATTCTTTATCAGGCAATTCATAGATCTCCATTTCTTTAGGATGGGTTACTGAAAATATGTTGTTCTTTGTGTAGTGTCGTATTTCCTTAATTTTTTATGTTCCTTATAGCCGTGGATTTCAGCACATTTAGAGGAGAAGTCTTCTCTTCCAAACTTTTTGAACTGCCTTTGGTGACCAAAGACCTTCACCTACAGTTGGGTGTGAAGGTGCCAACTGCTTGGGATGGCAACTCCATGTCTAGGGGGAGTGCAGCAGCAACTGCAGCTCTGATGAGTGCAATGGCATGGACTCCAGAAAGCTCTATCAGCTGAAGTCAGTGTCTACAAAGACCATGGGGATCTTCAGCATCAAAGGCTGAGGGTGTCCACACAGGTGTAGAGAGCTCTGTAGGCAATGACTGCTATGGTTTTCTTGCTCTCCTTTTCTTCCATAAGGTGAAGTCACAGTAGAGAGGATCCCTTTTGGTGCCAGGTCCTGAGGGCAGGTGTACATGGTAGTGCTTGGTCGGGGATTGTGGCAGCTTTGGCCCCAGGAAAGGTGCAGTGGTGGCTCAGCTTCTGCTGAGTATGCATAGTGGCTTGGACTCTGGACACGTCTGTTGGTTGGGGTCAGCACTGACAAAGACTGCAGGTGTCCTCAGTAGCATAAGCCCAAGCAAGATGGCAACATTAGAACTGCGTCTACCTCTACCTGGGCTTTGTTTAACTGGTTTTGTTTTGCTGATGTAGAAAAAGGCAATTTCATATGATTTGACCTAAGGTCTGGGATAGTTTATTAAACCAGACTGCTGAAGTCCTTAAAAAAATTAAATGTGTAAAAATTTAAATGCAATCCAAAACGTTTAAAGATGTTTAATTGAGGGCAGTTATCATTCAGAAACATCTCAGTTTGGACCCTATGCTCACAAAATTATAATAAATCTTTACCACTGCTCATCCATTAACTGCTGTGCAGCAGAGCAAGTCAAGATACTCAGCTTCTATTTTTGACAAAAATTCATAGAATTGAGTACAATTAAGGTTATAGAAATGGATGTTCACTGTTGATACTACTGGTTATAAAAGGCATGATAGATTCAAACTTTCAGGAAAATGCTGATAAACAATACAATGAATAATTATAGGTTTTTACATTTTCACAAGTTTTGTAAATTTGCCCAATTTACCCATTTTCTGCTGTGTATCTGTTTTTACCTCCATCTCTTGTAACACATCTTAGCAGATTATACTTCACATTGTACTGAATTCATGTTCTTCAACTTCCTTGAGAATATTTTTGCCTATAGTTGTTTCATGCAGACTATTTATAGAGTCTAACACCTCAGTCACATCAACATCAGTATGGACCCCACAAATAAGCAGCTAGCAGTGTTAGTAACATCTGTCCATTCATCAAGAGCCAAGGAAACCCACTAAAAATCATTTGACTTGTTTTTCAATCAATTACTATATTAGTTTCGTAGGGTTGCCGTAACAAATTATAACGTACTTTGTGGCTTAAACCAACAGATGTGAATTCTCTCCTATTTCTAGAGGCCAGAAATCTGAAATCAAGGTGTCAACAGGGCCACCCTGTCCCTGGAGGCTCTACAGGAAAATCTGTGCTTGTCTAGCTTCTGGTTGTTGCTGAATTCCTTGGCTTGTGGTCATATCAGTGCAATATCTGCCTCCACCTTCTCATCCTCTTCCCTTGTTTCTGTATGTCTCTTCCTCTGTGTGTCTCTTATAAGGGCATGTGTCATTGGAGTTAGGACTCACTCAGGTGAGCCAGAATGATCTCATCTTGAGATCCTTAACTAAATTATATCTGCAAAGACCCTTTTTCCAAATAAGATCCCATTTGCAGATTCCAGGGGGTTGATGTAGACAGCTTTGACATTTTGGCCTGACATAACTGCTGCTGTGGCTCCCGATGCCCTCAACTCTTGGAGCAACTGTTCTCACCAAAAGGCTAATATTTCTAAAGAGGTTTATTTTCTCTGGACGCATTACTCTGACTGCTGCAATTCAACATGATATAATTAACTCACCCACATTAGTTTTCCTTGGTTAACAAATGAGACACTAGGAAACTCACTTTGGTGGCAGACAATTTTTCATTTTTTATTTTTGTAAAGAAAGTCTGCCGTGATGAGATAAAAGGTTTTGAATTTTCTATTCTTTTCTGATCATTGTTGGTCATCGGGCATACTCACTCCGATCATATGCTTAGTCTGAAATAATGCTGATTATACTGCATTCTTTTAGCACAATTACTGTCATTACCTAATAAACACAGTGCTTTGCCATCTAATTAGATAACAAAATAATTCACACTTTGCTCTCCCTTAAAAGCACAGCATTCTAGCCCTGGCTGGTGTGGCTCAGTGGATTGAGTGCTGACCTGTGAATTGAAGAGTTGCTGGTTTGATTCCCAGTCAGAGCATATGCCCGGGATATGGACCAGGTCCCCAGTTGGCGGCGTGAGAGAGATACAATCGGTGTAGCTCTCACACATTGATGTTGCTCTCCCTCACTTTCTCCCCTCTCTAAAACTAAATAAATAAAACCTTTTTTTAAAGAAGCACAACATTCTAAATCCTCTTGTTTTGGCATGATGTGTATAAATTGGCAGTTTTTTAAAGATGTAGTACAGTTATATGTGTGGTACTTGAAATGATGTGGAGTTATAATGCATCACTGTGACTTGTAGTGTGCCACGCATCAGCGCGAAGTGATGTTGAAGTCAGTGACGACCATGTGGCTGGTAGTCTGTACATCGTAAGAATTTTATGGTGCCCTTGAAAGTAGTCTTTTTACATCAAAAAAGTGATTCAGAAGTGACTTTTCTTTTAAAGATTGTATTTATTTATTTAGAGAGAGGGGAAGGGAGGAAAAAAGGTGGGGAGAGAAAGATCCATGTGTGGTTGCCCCTCGTGCGCCCCCTGCTGGGGCATGGCCTGCAACCCAGGCACGTGCCCCAACTGAGAATCCAACCCGTGATCGTGGGTTCCCAGGTGGGCACTCAGTCCACTGAGCCACACCAGCGAGGGCTGTTTTCTTAAAATATCCGTTTATTTAAGTTAGATCTTCAAATCCTGATTCCTCCCGAAGTTTTTAAAATTTCACTTTACATGTAGAGCTGGTTCACTTTAATAATTAATTTTAAGATTACATGTCAGCAGCTGGC